CAGTCAATCCGGGAACTCACAAAATCTCGTGGTGCTCTGAATGCAAATAACCTGTTGGCTGTGGTGTTACGAGGGTTGTTAACGAGCTAATGATTGTTTGCAAGATCCCCGAGTGAGTAGTTGAGTGTGAATAATGACTGGGAAAGCGTACCCTACTTGACTCATTGTTTGTGGTGTGGTGTGGTAGAGTCACACTTCACCACACCATATCACACCCTTCACCATATCACACCATTCAATACACCACACCCTTCACCACACCACATCACATCCTTTCAATACACCACACCCTTCACCACATCACATCACATCCTTCACTAAACCACACCCTTTACCACACCACACCATTAGCAACACCACACCCCACACCACAGCAACACCACACCCTTCACCACACCACATCACATCCTTTCAATACACCACACCCTTCACACCACATCCACATCCTTCACTAAACCACACCCTTTACCACACCACACCATTAGCAACACCACACCCTTCACCACACCACATCACATCCTTTCAATACACCACACCCTTCACCACATCACATCACATCCTTCACTAAACCACACCCTTTACCACACCACACCATTAGCAACACCACACCCTTCACCACAGCACCACCACAAAATGGACAATCTCCCTCACTCAACAAAGTCATATGTTAGGTGGAGGGGTACTGGGGGACTCTTGCAGTGTACTGATGCGAAAACTTAGGTCATTACTGAAGCGTAATCAGGTCAAAGGTTAATTAGCGGACCAGAGAGAGCGGAGGTCTCTAGCTACGGGTCATAAAGTACCTCCAATATTTTTTTTCCACTTTGTAGTTGAATTATGCAATGACTTACTGTGTGTGTGTGTGTGTGTGTGAAGACGTTAACAGCGAGTCTCGGTCTAAATATTAATGTTATGCTAACTTAAACATAGGAATGTGGAGGCTAAGTGGATACTGCACTCGCCTTTTGTCCTAAAGGTCGCTGGTTCGTTCCAGTTGCATTTCCAGTTCACTCAGCTGTAAATGGGTACCTTAATTTACTAATTGGTGAGTGAAGGTGGTCGAGTGCAGTGCCGGTGTCATATAGAAATCTCACTCAATGGAATCGAAATTTGAAACCCTTACGGAAAAAATGACCTTTTCCCATTCACTTAGATAGGTTGTATAATATATATATATATATATATATATATATATATATATATATATATATATATATATATATATATATATATATATATATATATATATATATATATATATATATATATATATATATATATATTTCAGGTGTACATACATTTCCTCTCTAAATTTATAGAATGTTCACATTCCATTAGCAAGATTAAGTTAGTGTTTCTGATTGCGATTAAATTGTGTGCTTCCATGCATATTTGTACGTACGCATAAGTAAATGAAAAGTAAATTATAAGATTGTCATCGTTGTCAAAATGTAGTGTATAGTCTGTCTCTTTCTTATATATTGTGGATGAGGAACAAATACGAGTCTGCATTTATTCTTGGAGGTCAGTTGTCCATAGGGAAGTAATAGGAAACTGATTCATGGGTCACTTTCCCATGGAGGTCAATATTCTCTCTGTCTTCATCCACGCTGCTTCCTCGTGCACCGAAAGCTTAGCTATGACTATTGGATCCATTTCTTTACCATCAACTTAATATTGGTAAGCTATAAACATTTACTTAAAACACACACACACACACACACACACACACACACACACACACACACACACACACACACACACACACACACACACACACACACACTAAACCCCTGATAACCCTTAAACTCTTATATAGGTTCCAGCAGAGTTACGGTTCAGTATAAAACGACCATTAAACTTCCTCTTCATTCACTTCCTTCCTGAACACTCTGTCGAAAATTACCTTCTGAATCCTTACCCCCTTGAGAACGATGACTTAATCCATCGTATAAGATGAGTTAACCCTTGCGAAAGATGACTTAAACTATTGAATACGATGATCTTACCTCTTGAGTATGATGACTTAAAGCCTTAAAGCCTTGAATACGATGATTTTAACCGTTGAGTATGGTGACTTAACCCCCTGAGTATGGTGACTTAACCCCTTGAGTATGGTGACATAATCCCTTGAGTATGGTGACTTAACCAGTTGAGCATGACAACTTAACCCTTTGAGTGTGGTGATTTAACCCCTTGAGCATGACAACTCAACCCGTTGTATGATAACCCCTTGAGTATGGTGACTTAACCCCTTGAGTATGGTGACTTAACCCCTTGAGTATGGTGACTTAACCCCTTGAGTATGGTGACTAAATAAAATTCATATTCATATTACACCAAATAATAGCCACTTGCTCCCACCAAATGTTAAGCAAATCAGGTGAAATCACATTCCGATGGACGTATTTTGAAGAGTATTGTGTAGCTGACAATACCCATCTATAATTATTAAAGGAGGAACAATGAACTCACAATCCTCTGAGAATCCAATTTTGAAACGGAACTTTAGTGAGCCATCTAGAAGAGTTCCCACATCACTACTTCAGGGGAAATATTAACCTAAGAACCATTGGGAATCTTCAGTCAGATCACCGTGTTGTAAGAGTTGATGAATGGAGTTGAGAGTAGAGGTGAGGGTGAAGGCTGGTGGTAGTGTGTGTGTGTGTGTGTGTGTGTGTGTGTGTGTGTGTGTGTGTGTGTGTGTGTGTCTTAATTACACAGTATCCGACAAACGGTTTAAACTTTCACCATGAAACTCGGTGATGGTAACAAGAAGGTTCAGAGAGATGTGGTGTGAGATATATAACATGCATAGTTTTAACCATTTCACACATCTAGAGTTTATTGTACTCTATTATCTCTCTCTCTCTCTCTCTCTCTCTCTCTCTCTCTCTCTCTCTCTCGGTAGTGTCCAAAATGTACCTCATATTCATGTTATTCGGAAATTCTTGTCAAAATTGGAAAAAACTTCTTCCAAAATTAAAAAAATTCCAGCAAATATGCAATTAAAACTTTCAATATATTTCGTACCAAAGTTCATTATTTTCCAGGAAAAAATAAGTTATGTACGTAATGACCAGCTGATGTTCTTTAATATCCAAAATAAAATGTAAACAGATTTTTATATTAATTTTTCGAGATTATATGAAAGAAGAAAATAAAAAAAAGAGATCAGATTATTATTAAAAAGTAAAGGTTCGAGTATGAGAGAATGAGTCAATGATCAGAGAGAAGAACACAGTGTTGAAGGTTTATCACTGACGATATATGCATTAGTCTATGGTCTCTCTCACCCATAGTTCACTTAATCTTGACCTTTGACCTTTGGTAGTGGCGACATCAATGTTATCCTGTGACCTTTTTATCCATTCAATTAAAAAAATTAGCTGGATACATTATTTTTCGGGTAAAATAAGCTGGAGCATCTAATCCTAAGGAGAAATAAACTGGGGTGTCTAATCTTCAGATGAAATAAGCTGGAGGTGTCTAATCAATAGGTGAAATAAGCTGAAGTGTCTATTCTTCAGGTGAAATAAGCTGGAGTGTTTAATCTTGAGATGAAATAAACTAGGGTGTCTAATCCCGTAAGAAACACAAGGATAACGCGAGCGCTGTGTGGAAAATTAATTAGCCAGGTTACCCCTTAACAACATCATGTACTGTGCACCACTGATGACCAAACCCAGGTAATTAATAATACTTGGCCAAGAGAGATGGTTTACTGGTAATTGGAGGGGTAGTTGAGATGGAAGGTAATAATAATAATAATAATAATAATAATAATAATAATAATAAAAATAATAATAATAAAATTGCCTTCATGAGAAAAATAACAATATCGAAAATATCAATGGTAAGAAAAGAAGAAGAAAATTAAGAATACGAAGAAAAGAAGAAACGAGGAAAATTAAGAAGAGGAAAACGTAAGAAATAAATATGAAGAATGATTCTGTTCTATCAAGTAATATTCTTACAGCAAACATCAAAAATATATTTATTACAACAGGTAACATTATGCATAATGTACAGTCTCGTTCAAGATTCTTCAAACACTGCTGGAGACAGCTGGCAACTCAAGGCCGTTTGTTTACTAAAGTACGTAGTAAAAATTATGAATGAATGTAAAAGGTTATCGGTGATTGGTTACTTAGTTCCCAGTTGCTTAATTAATGGTTGGGTTTTGTTGTTTCGTATTATATTATACTACGTACTATAGTAAACAAACGGCCTTGAGTTGCCAGCTATCTCCAGCAGTGTTTGAAGAATCTTGAACGAGACTGTACATACGCCAGTAGAGCAATTATCTCAAATTACACTAATTAGACTTAATTACAATGGACAGCTCTCTCTCCGCTAGACAACTACCCAATTACTCAATACAATAACACTATACCTGTCACCACTCCTCCACATACTGAAGCAACTACAACCACTAGCCCTCCACACTACTGTTACTACTTTGCTGTCACTCAGAATAGCATATGCCTATCATCCAGCGGGGACAGAATTATATCATGTTTTAGTAGTGTTACCTTCGCTTATGAGTTCTCATGTGGCTCGAGATGCCGATAAGGGGGACCGGTTTTGGGGGGCAAATGTTACACGTGTGGAGGACAACTTCTAGTGTGGGAGTTTTCCTGACATTCCATGCAGCGACCATAAGATGGTGCATACTTTGTTTTGATCCGTTGTGACGGTTTTCGACTACATTGAAAATGACCTAAATTGTTGACCAATCAGGAGAAATGTTGTAAGAAGACAATGTTTAGGGCACCTTTTCTAGCCCCCTCTCAACCACCGTAATAAACACTATCACCACTGCCCCATAATAACAGGTGTCACCACTACTGCCCCGCAATAACAGGTGTCACCACTACTGCCCCGCAATAAGAGGTGTCACCACTACTGCCCCATAATAACAGGTGTCACCACTACTGCCCCGCAATAACAGGTGTCACCACTATTGCCCCGCAATAACAGGTGTTACCACTGCTCACCAAGACAGCATGACAGCTGCGGCCCAGATGGTGAGGATACAGGTGCAGGCCCTCATCTTAGTGCAGGTGTAGGAGGCACGCAAAGGTCGACAGATGGCGTAGTAGCGTTCGAAGCTGATGACCAAGATGGTGAGCACTGAGGCATGACACACACAGTACTCCACGAAGGGCACCAGTTTACCTGTAGAAAGAGATGTGATAATTAGTACACCTGTAATCGTGTGTTACAATGATGACACAATACAGATACAGTGTTAAAAGAGTATAGTGTTACGGGGGTATTGGGAGACAGTGAAACACTTATACTCTCTCTCTCTCAAGAAGATAGTTATGGTGACAATGAGTAATGGTGAGAAAAAGAGACACACATCTCTTTCTCTTTCTCTCTTGGCGGAATTACGGTGTGATTTTACAATGGTATTACTGCATATTGTCCAGGAATAATAATAATAATAATAATAATAATAATAATAATAATAATAATAATAATAATAATAATAATAATAATAATAATAATAATAATAATAATAATAATAAAACCCAACAATAATAAATAAAAAACAACAACAATAAATAAAAACACCTAAAAAATAGATGAAAAAATAGAAAACGAAAAAATAAGCCACTATTTAAGGGCCAACTTAGGTAAAAAGAAATCAGCATCATTATTCCTGGTTGAACTATAGGAGCAGTAATGCTATATTCTCCCTTTGTTATATTGATCATATATCTAGAGCTTCCTGGTATATTTCAACTATATTTTACGTTTTAGTTTTCGAGGAATGACATATGATAGCCATTTATTCGTGTCTTCCTCCCATATTTCTTCTTCTATTTCCTATTTCTTCTTCCTCTCCTGCCTTCCTTTCCTCTTATATTTCTTCTTGTGGTTGTTACTCGTTTTCTTTGGTTTCGTTTTCTGTTCCTTAACATTATCTTTTGTAATTGTTCGTTTATTCTTTTCCTTCTTTTTTTCTCTTCCTGATTTATCTTCTTTCCTTTTCTTCTTATTTATTTTTCTTCCTTTTATTGTCTTCTTTTTCTTATTATTTTATATGTCTTCTTCTTTCTTTCGTTCTTTACATTCTTACATACTTCCTCCCTCCCCCCCCCCCTTCCTCTTCATCTCTTGGCCTCCTCCCTCCACGACTCTTATTCTCGTAAAACTCTCGTTACGTCTCACTTCCTTCGACTCTCCTTCTTTCTCTCACCTGGCTCCACCCCCCCCCAACCCTCTCTCCTCTCTTTTTCCAGTCATTTGCCTCTGGCTCTGACAGGACCCAGAAATCACTTCAACTACTGCTACGCTTCGTTCGTTTTCATATTCCGATTTTCTTGTCATTCGTAAACAAATTCTTTTTCTTGTGTCCCGCCAAGAATGCAGAACGAAGTGTATCCAGTAGAGTTGGCACAGGATAACACTATAAGATATCAGAACATTTATTACGTTATATGGCACAGGATAACGTAATGATATCGGGTACTTAAGAACTAGGAAGATACTTGACCTGACCTAGCTAATTAACCTAACTTAATCTAATGAACTGAGTAATCATAACTAAACCGAACCTAGTCTAGTCTAACCTAACCTAACCTAACCTATCCTAACTTTTGCGTTTAACTCGTTTTAGTTTGTGTACCTCTTTTATTTGATCTTGTTTTACCTGGTTTAGTTTTAATTATAAATCATTTCAAGTAGATAAACGTTTTGTCTTTGGATAATTTAGGGTTTTAACCTTCGCGTTCGGCTCATTTTAGGTGGTGAACTGTTACTTTGGCTTCAGTTTAGGTTAGGTATTTCAACTTAAGCTTTACCATACCTTAAATGATTAACGTAATGGTTTAGTTTACTTTAGATGCTTCACTTTAAGGTTTTGTTTACTTTAGGTGCTTCACTTTTAGGTTTAGTTTACTTTAGGTGCTTAACTTTTAGGTTTAGTTTACTTTAGGTGCTTCACTTATAGGTTTAGTTTAACTAAGGTGTAACACCAAGTTTAATTTGCTGGGTGCTTCACTTTAAGGTTAATATTTTAGGCCTTCTTTTTGGGTTTGATTTACTTTAGGTGCTTCACTTTGGAGGTTTAGTTTCTTTGGGTTTGGTTGCTGGTGCTTCACTTTTAATTTTAGTTTACTTTAGGTGCTTCACTTTTAGGTTTAGTTTACTTTAGGTGCTTCACTTTTAGGTTCAGTTTACTTTAGGTTTAGCTTACTTTAGGTGCTTCACTTTTAGGCTTAGTTTACCTTAGGTGCCTCACTTTTACAGGGTGTGTGTGCAAAGCGAGTCGTCTGTCTCACATAGATCGTTTCTACTCTCGTGTAATATTTACCTAACGCTGCTGTTATTCCTCTATTCCTTTCGCTTTCATTTCACTTCCCTTTTACTTTCATTTCACTTTCGTATTACTTTTCGTTTCACTTTCATTTTACTTTCTTTTAATTTCGTTTCACTTTCATTTCACTTTTATATTACTTTTATTTCATTTTTATTTTAATTTCAATTTATTTCGTTTTACTTTCACTTCACATTCATTTTATTTTCGTTTCGCTTTCTGTTTACTTTCATTTTACTTTCATTTTAAGTTGTGTTTCATTTCACTTTCTGTTCATTTTTTCCGCGTATTTTTAATCTTTAATCTTTATTCCTTCGCTGTTGTCAGGGCAAATTTCTGTTCACCTATCAACTAGAAAGAAAATAATGATAAAGATGATGACTGTAATAACGATATAAACTATCATGCTAATACTTATTAATAGTGAATTATCTTTTATAACACCATCAATAATAGTAACAATAGTGTAATAATAATAATGATATAATAATAATAATAATAATAATAATAATAATAATAATAATAATAATAATAATAATAATAATAATAATATTAGTATTATTATTGTTATTATTATTAACAGTGATCATTATAATTATAATTATACAAAACAGATAAACTTACAGCGAGAAAACAGAGTCAAACACAGGCAGAAAGTCACAGAAAAGGAATAGCCATCAGACATATTTGACGTACTGGTGAATTCAGTTTGTAAAAATAAATCATATTAGTTTATATTGTCGTGTAAGCATCAGCGAGCTATGCAACATTTAACATAACTCCTCTTCCCGCTGAAACAGTTAATTTAACCTTCATCAAATACAAAACCTATTGACTTACTGACCCAGCAGCTGACCTGTGGCCCTCAGGTAGTTACGAGTATATTGTTACAAAATAAAAATATATCATTTTAATCAAAATTTGTCGGTGTTGGTGGGCAGCGAGGTGGCTATTGATAAGTCCACCCCACCTAGTAGTGTTGGTGATGTAATTCAACGTGGTTTTTAATAAACCAATTCAAAGGCACTTTTATTAACTACGATTTGATGAGTCCCGCTGGGTTTTTTTTTATTAATGACAAGGTTTTGTTCCCCATATGGCTCAGGTTAACAGGGTTCAGGACCAAACACCAGCATCTCCTGCCGTTCACTTCCTCACATGTTCACTCTTACTGTTGTAAAAGATGTGTCCACCACCGTGTTGCCCTCCTATAGGGTCCCTGACGCTCCACACACCCGCCATCATCCATCACCCAGAACAGCCGTAATCCAGCAGATGGACAACAGTTAGAAACTTGAGTTACAAAAACATCAATAAAGAACAAAAACTCATTATAAACTAATAGGGCACTTAATAATTTTATATAAACTTAATTAAGCATGATTGAAATATATAGACTCATTATCCTTACTTCAATAGAGTTCAATCTGTTATTTTTTTGTTTGTTTAATAACTCTCGCAGAGATCAGATTAATGCCATTGTCGTTGCTACTCACCATGTTAAAAACTGGACTATTCTAATTACTGCACAATAAAAGTCACACTACCAGGATATGCTTAGTGTGGACCAGTACACAGACAAAGAAATAAGAAACCGGTTCTTACCTTATATGTTTATTAATATCAAAGCTAAAAAAGTTAGGTTTGTTTACCTTGACTTTGATGTCTGGGTGGACAGATCTAGCGGCAAAAACTTTGGAAGGAGAGATAGTCTTTGATCGGGAATTTTATCTGTTCTTAATACGATATATATTTTCTTGTCCTACATAAATTCAATATAAGTCAACTAAAACTGGAGATTATCGATTCCGTTTTCTCTCTTAGAAGAACTGTGGTTGGTCTTTCTAGAGACTCGTAAGCTTGCCCGGGAGATATGTGAGGAAACTTGGTGCCGGTGTTCGACAAGATGTAAACATTACGTGACTGTCTGCCAGGCGTAGGATGTCTCGGCTGCTCAACGGAAATGGGGTAGATGGAGGTTTAAGCTAATTTGTTCTTTTTCTCAGTGTTGTCTTGTTTTGTGTTTCGTGTTCTCTCAGTCTATTTCTTGTTTGTCTTTTTTTTTTAATGTATAGGACGTACTTGACCAAATAAACTTGTTATTGGTGTTATGTTGCAATCTTTATCACCAACGTTACAGTCTTTTCATCAATTTATCACCTCTGTCCATAATTATTTTAATAATTTTCACCAACACTATAATCTTTTCCACCTGTGTTTCAATCGTTTTCACCAATATTATTTTTCCAATGTTACAATCTTTTCTCCAAAGGTTCCAAAGTGTTCTCCGATATGGCAATATTGTCGCCAGTGCTTCAATATTACAATCTAATGTTTAGTGTTAATATAATTTTTGCAATGATATACAATCCTTGTCTTCAATGTTGTAATGCAGTGTTTCTAATAAAATCATCCCCAGTGTTAAACTTAGTCTCTTGTCTACTGTTATAACATTACCAAAATACTGTTCCATCCTACAATCTACAGTTCCAGCCTATGATCTACAGTTCCAACCTACAATCTACTGCTCCACGTTAGAATCTACAGTTCCAACCTACAATATACTGTTCTAACGTTCCAATCTACTGTTCCAATGGTACAATCTTTTCCCCGAAGCTCAACCTAGCCCTCGCGCCAACACAGTAACGAGACACTCACCTTAATGAACGCTGTCAACGACGTGGCATTAACTTTAGGAAAGGTTAACGAAGAGGAATGGAAGAACAAATATTGGCAATTATTGGTCGATTCTGTCTCTCTTTAAACCTTCTCTTCTATTGTTATTGCAAAGTCTCTCTCTCTCTCTCTCTCTCTCTCTCTCTCTCTCTCTCTCTCTCTCTCTCTC